TTTCACCAAACTAGGAGCTCACGCTACATGCCCCTCAGCTGCCACCAGTTGATTACATCAACATTACCCATTATTAATAATCAAGGTCAAGGCTATATGTCATTTTAAAAAACCAAACAGAAATTGTTTATCCATACAGGTGCTGATAGAACAAGCAATGTTGTTAACACTTAAACAAACATTCTCCTTTATCCACTCTCAACCACCCCAAACTCCAAATCTCTCTCTATATATTTTCAACTAATCTCAAACTCCCTATCTTTAAACCCTATCTAAACCCCTCCTCCTGCTGCTGAGTCTCTTATATCTCGTGACTCCACCTCTCCAGCACTCCCATTGGTCTTTGCAAATAGCATATGCATATTCATGACCTGGGCGGATGCCACAGTATGTATGTATGTATGTATGTATGTATGTATGTATGTATGTATGTATGTATGTATGTATGTATGTATGTATGTATGTATGTATACTTGTTTGTTGCTTGCTTACTTGCTTACTTACTTATTTACTTACTTACTTACACAGTTTGTATCACACTCCCATTAGTGTCGAGGCACTACTCTGGGCAGTTACAACACATTTAATAGAAAACAAAAATACAGTGATATCGCAGTTTACAAATTTAATGCATTCTCTGGGACATATTGCGAAAAATTTGCAAACTGAAAGGCAGTTTCCCATAGGAATGCATGCATCGAGGTGGCACTATAAACCTCCCAGGCGCAATGAATGCATGGGGGTGACACTATAAACCTCCCAGGTGCAATGCATCCTGGGGAAACTTGCTTCATATTGCAAAAAACATTTATAAACCAAGGCATTATTTTCAATGGGTTTTCATTTGTAAACCGAAAATTACATTAACCGAGGTGTTCGTAAACCGAGGCACCACTGTAAAGGTAGAAACATTAAATGCAGCAACAACAACACTAAATGAGGCATCACTGTAAAGGCAGGAACATTAAATGCAGCAACAACAACACTAAAAACAGATGACACCAACTAATCATATAAATCAGGACCAAAGGTGGCTGATTGGGTATTTCTGATATGCTGATCTTTGCCAGTCACACAATACAACTAGTCTTGCCCAGTGCGCTATGCAGCCATGTCAAAACATGCATCTCGTCAGGGGACCCCAGATAAGCAATGTGGCATCCCGATGCATACTTTCATCTAAATTGGCTGCGGAACTACTTCCTTGGACAGATCTCCTTGCTGGAGTAGGGGCCAAAGCTCTCAAAGACACATAAGAACTTTTAATTTATTTATAGCATAGGCAAGGAACCTTTGTGTCTCCAGAGATTTGAAACTAGAAACCCACCATTGCATTCCATTAGTTATTTTTGGTGGAGGTGACAGGGGATGTAAGCAAAAACCTCTGGAGGGCCAAAGGTTCACCACAAGTTGTGATCATTTTATCCAACTGAAAGACACTAAAGTGTAGAGGGGAGGACATCAACTGATGGAACTGCTTCTGTCAATAGAGTACAGAGAAGGGACATCACCCCTCCTCTCTGCAGCCCTCCAGGTAGCCCAAACCTTGCCCTGGAGCCAGTTTGTGGGGTGAATGGAGACCACTGGGGGGGGGGAACCTGAAAAGTTCTGTCCTACTGACATTGCAGTATCAGTGCAATGCTGGAGGTAAGCTATTGGCTTTTCCACCTCTCCTTGTAACATTGAAGAAGTTTATCCCTGCCTTCATAAGGAATAAGATCAGCTTCTCTGTTGCAAATTGTGAAACATTAAGGCAATCCTTATGTAAAAGTCATTAGAGCAGGCTGTGTGCTTTATTTTGTGTTCCTGTGGGGTGCGTACAATATTACTTTGATTGGAAATGGATGACACATTTCATCTGATTGAATAGTTAAGTGGGGCTTTAAAGACAATGAACATTAGCCACTTTGTCCATTTGCTAAGTCTTAATAAATTAAAACGGCATGTACAGCAATGATTAAAGCAATTCCAAAAATCGAAGAGGAAAGAGAGGCACCCTTGATGTGTCATGGCACAACCATAATGAACGCATTTACTTAATGGAGGATCTGTGTCACAACAGTGAGCATAGAGAACCTGCAGGTGGAAAAAAAAATACAAACACATTTCCCAGAAGAATCTCCCATCACAATTCATTAGGAAAGAAAATCTGCAAGAACTGATGAGATAGGCACAAAATGGATTTCCATATTGCTGGACTGAATCATGGCTCCCAGCAATTAATGCTTTTTGTCATATGAAGCAGATAAATAATGCTATGTGACATTACAGTATTTCACATTACAGTAAAATTTTGTAGCATTTGCTCGTAATCGAACTTGAAATATGTTACCTAGAAAAAAATATGTTATCTCTGGAACAGTCAAACCCCATTAGAAACCCTAGGCTTGAAAAATCACAATGTTAACAGTTATGTCCCCTAGCAAAGGTTTGCTTTCCTTAAATAGTGTTAAATCTAAACCCAGGAGCCCTAGTCTCTTTTAGAGTTACTCTTCCTCAGTGCATTGAGCTTGAAAGGAGAATATAGTGCACTCAGCGCTATTGAAGTTGCACAAAGCAGGCAGGAAAGGGATGCGTGAAGCTTATACTTTTATCAGTCACTTGTAACTGCTGTTTCAATAGAAGCTTAGATCTCTCTGAGCTACCAGTTGCCTAAAGTTTCTAAGATGAGTATTGTTGTGAAAATTCATTTACTGTATTCCTATTATCTATGGATTTTTAAAAATCACTTGATGCTATTAATGAGATTCCAGTATGTCACCTGAGAGACAGGTTCACAAACCTCATGAAAATAGACTCTACTTGCTCTTTAGGCTCCAAAGAGACCTAATTATTTTTCCTTCTGATTGTATCTATTCCTAAACTGACCTTCGTGGGCTAGATTTTGGAAGAAGGGGTGAGGAAATGTTGTAAGACAGTGATTATCAAGAACTTACAGTATGTATTAATTCCTTATTAATTAGTGACATTTACCCTGCTTTTCATCCACAGATCTCAAAGAAGTGTATATGGCATTTCTCCTTGCCACTTCATCATCACAATGACTTTATAATGTACTGTATGTGGGTTAGGCTAGGAGGGAGACTGCTTGGCAAAAGTCATCTAGTGAATTTTATGCCTGGAGGAGGACTGGAGGAACATGGAACTCCAAAATTCCAGTCCAATGCCCAAACCACAATGCCACATAAAAGACCTTATTGTTCACTGCAGAGAAGTTTCAGAAGATTGTATGACTCTGTTTACCAGTAAAACCAAGTCTGTGGCAATGAAGGAAAGATTCCAGTGTAATTCAGTCCATGAACCCCATTCATGGCTGCTACCCTTTTTGTGTTCACTGCCCAGCTGGGAAGGAACACCAATGTGTTTTTTTTTTTTTAAAAAATTCTCATCCCTTACACCTCCATTGCTGACACAGTATCTGCACCACTGAAAGAGGCACTCTCAATCCTTGCCTTTGTGGTTGAAAACAGAATGGCAAATATTACTGCTACAAGGACACAACGATCAAGACGACGCAGCCATAGTCAGTGGCCATCACTTCTGAGCAGCCAAGAAGGGAGTCCCACTGAAGAGCTGAATGGCAGCACTTTCTCGATCCTTCCTCAATGCTGGAGATTGGAAATATTGTTTTTGGATTACAACACTCAGAACACTCCAGCCGACATGACCAGTGCAATGGCTAGAATGCTGTGGGGCACGTAGTCCAGAGAATTGACTTTTATCAATCTCTGCTCAAAATATAAAGTCAAAATTCTGTCACTTGGACGTTTCCAGATGTGCTGGGATTCCAATCCTCCCAAATCCCGCCAGCCATTATCCTGGTAGTTGATGATGGGGACTGCAATCTCAAGGGTGCTGGGTTGCGGGATGCTGATGTAACTTTTCTGGCATCTAGACATTTGGAGGTCATGCCCATGAACACCACTGGGTGCTGCTGGCAGGGGAACTAGAGATGGGGACAACTCACCATTTTGGCGAGTCGTCCTGCTTTGTGAGTCAACTTTTGATGACTCACGAAGCACGAAGTTGCCCCCATGAAGCGATGAATAACGAAGTTGTTGATTCATGGGAGGTTATTTTAAAAACCACCCCTGCCCACAGACTGTGGCTACAGAGGCCTGATGGAGACCTTGGCAGCGGTAGCAGCAATTACAATAAGGGCATGTTGGTTGGGGTGGCGGGGCTAAGGTAGGGAGAGGAAGGGGTGGGTGTAGACTGTAGGGGTGGTTGGTTGTGGGGGTAGGTGGCTACCTATCGGCCTACAACTAATAGGTTGTGGGCCAATAGGCAGAATGGTTTGGGGTTAGGCAGAATGGTTTTTATTATTTTTATTATGAAGGATGAATAAAAGTGGGAAAATATTCATTGATCAGTATTCATCAAGTCTTAAAATTTGATGAATACAGATCAACGAATAAATGAATCAGCTATTTTCGTCAAAAAAGCCCATCTGTTTTTATATTCATCCCCATATCTAATTAAAACAGGAAAATATTTATCAATCCGTATTCATCAGGACTTATTTAATTTTATTTATTCATTTATATACCAGCCATCTAGAATGTGTCTACTCTGGGCGGTTTACATATAACATAAAAATAAAATCCAGATTAATCACAGGGTCCAAGATGGAAAAGGAAGAAGAAAAAAAGAGAGAGAAAAAAGAAAAGGGGAGATAGGCTAGGTAATGGCTGTAGGGGAGGCCTGCCTCTACAGCCATGTCTTCAAGTTAGTCTTGAAGGCCCTCAGGGAAGGAGCCAGGTGGATCTCTACAGGTAAGTTGTTCCAGAGACTTAAAATCTGATGAATATGGACCGATGAATATTTAACGAATTGGCTATTTTCATCGAAAAAGCTAATCTGTTTTTATATTTGTCCCCATCTCTAATAATGACGACAGCACAAGAACACTCTGTCACAGAGCTAGGGCAATGTTCTCATAAATAGTCCCATGTTTCTTACAACATGTTCAGGAACAACGGGAAAGAGAAAACATAGGGTTCAAAATTATTCCAAAATGTTTATTGTTCATACCTTCAAGTCAATACAGGTCAAACTGCAGTTAGTACAAGGAGCAGCTCATATGCTTTACACAATACAGAAAAGCTGAAAGGTTATATTAGCTGGTAACAGATGATCTCCTTAAAGTGGCAATGCACATCTTTCCATCTATATTCATACCTGCACAACCGTCTGTTCAGTACGGTGTCCCCACAATCTTGCTGCAAATAAAGGACTTGAAAGGCTCTTTAAGTTCCCACCAAAAGACCTAGACTGGAAATGGTGTTGTGGTTTCTGTTCTCTTGTGAATTTACTCCTCTCTTGTAGAAACGAAGTGATCTGCTACCCATAAAGAAAAGAAAATAGCAGCTCTGCACTGGAGGTTCTTCTCAATAAACAAAGTACATAACATGGTGATGCTGTTATTAAAATACTCACAAGAAGTGTATTAATTTGAATGTAGGTTTATGTCTGTACACCAGGGGGAAGAAGTCCAAAATGTTGAGAGCGCTCTTGCAAGGGGTTTTCTGTCCACAAGAGAAAATGTGTGGAAAGCTAATTTCCCCTGAAGTAGCTGAGAGAGCCTGTTCATCTCTGACCAGCTAGCCAAGGGGTAGGGAGAATAGGAATACCATTTTTTCTTCAGTCTGTGATCAGAGATTCACTTGCACTCTGCTCATCTTCCAGACTGGCAGTCATGCAATAAGAATCATCCACACCAAGGATGGGCCTTTTCCAGGAAGAAGAGCCTCCACAGGTCTGAAGAGGCCTAGCGGCTGGTGCATCCCTGCCTCTGAAACAGGGATGAAGTGAGAGCAGTCTTGCCACTATATTGAATGTGTGGTTCACCTATAGGGCACGTCACATAGTCAAATGAGCAGAAACCCTGCATGCCTGGTGGGATTTGGGTGCACCCTCCACCATGCACAGCATGTAGTGTTTGCAGTGGGGACCCATATGCATGATCTATTCAGTTCTAGCTACCATTTCAATCCCTTCTTGAATGGGGAGAATTGCTATTCACATCAGCTGTAAGCAGTATCACCTACAGACAAAACATGTCTCGTTTACCTGTGGAGTAAACTGCATCATCCTGAACAACAGCTATTAATGTTAAGTCCCATCTCAAGGCAAGTATTCAGTGGATTATTCATATATTCTTCCCCCACAAGAGCTGCCCATATCATTCAACATAATGAACCACACTTGAGAAGGAAGGAGAAATGAAGGAACAGCTCATGCACAGTGAAGGATGCAGAAAACATTCCTCTTTTCGTACATTCAAAGAGTAAGATATGGAATCAGACCTTTGAAAGAGTTTTTGAACAGACTTGGTAACATACATATTTTTGTTCTGTTTGAAAAATGCTGGACTATATTACAAGAAAGCAAGTGTAACATCCCAATCCCAAAAGAACTTTCCAACATCAGTTTGTACAGGAGGGAATGTTGAGAGATGCTCTCATCAGGACAGCTATTGAAGTTGATAGTGCCAGTCATGACTCAGCTAAGAGGGACACAGCAAATAGTGGTTGGACACCTTCCCACTGCTTCTGCTGCCCTAAACAGAAACCTAACACTGAAATCCTTAACACACAGACCTGGAATAAAGAGACACTACTTGCCAGCCTTTCTAATCTGGCATCTTCCCACACTTCCCATTATGATGCCTGTGCTGGGTAGAGGAGATGACCTATAGTCTTAACTTCTGGAGGACATAATTTTGTGGAAGGCTGCTGGACACCATAGCCTCTTGTGATGTTTCTTTTGCCGAGGAATCAAAATGTTTCCATTACCTTCTTCTGATGGAAAAAAGGGTATCATCACATAAGGAAAATCATCATATCAGGTGAAAAGATGGGTATGTTGTGATTGTCTCTCTCCTTGAGGTACTGGTTTTGAATGCGTGATGAAAGAGTTAAAAAAAACCCTGCAAAAATGTTGCTCCCACTTCCATGACCACAACAATGGCTATATGATGTGATGCTAAGTCCATCTTGCTTATGCTTTGTTTGTAAAGTCTTATTGATTCTGCTGAGGAATTCCCCAAGTTGAGGACTGAGGTTAGAAAGTATCAAGATGTATTTAGAAAGTTCATTCCTAATTAAATTGAAATCCTATCCTTAAAAAAGTGCTTTTTTTAAAAAAAGAGAGAGAAGTGGTAACTATTGCATTCAACAAAATTGCTTTGTCAAAAAATATATTGGTGCAAAACCAGCCTACCAAAATAATCACTGTTATTTTGGTCATGTACAAGAAAAACAGACTCAAATCTCTGATACATCCACCTTTGAAAGAGTATCATAGCTCATCATGGTTTTTTGTAAGGTCTTCTCCATAATTTGTAGCTTGGCTTCCAACGAACATATTCCAGTTGTCTAGAATTTCTTCTTTAGTTAATTTCTGATCCTGTTGAGAAAAAGGTAAATCTGTCAAAGGAAATCTACAATTAGAGGGCTTTAGTGCTGTGTCCGAAAATAAAAATAAAAAGGGTCACTTGACTCTGCAATAGTTTCACTGAAAGAAATCAACAATTCCCTCTCCCCTACATAAATATATCTGTTGGCTATGTCTTGTCTTAATGGATGCCTCTTGTGGTTGAGACAATACAGTTTATCATTCACTCTATTACTTCTATCAGGTACTATGTACCTTGTCAACATCTGATTCGTAGACTAAATGCCTGGCCTCAGCTTGGGCATGGTCATAGTCTTGTGGGAGAATCCAGTGCCGAATCTCCTCTTTATCCATCTTCCCATCCTTGTTTAGATCTCGAAAGTCTGCAAACTGTTCACGTTCTGTTAATACCCAGTCAGGTTCTGGACCACCATCTTCATGTGTGAACATATCAGCTAGGGACAGGGAAAAGAGTCATGTTTTGGAACCACTCTTTAATTTGCACAGTATCAGAGGACCAGGTGCTCAAGACTCGTTAATAAGAAATGCAGAAGAATCAGGCAAATACATGACTTCAAAAAAATCCCTTCTGTACACCCCAAGATACATGAAGTCCAAGATCTTCCAAAACCAGTTTATCTACGGGAGCAAGAATCATATTAAAGAAGAAAGCAAAATTAGTCTGCAATCAGTCTAGTGGACACAGAAAAGATCACAGGTGTTAACATTTGTAAAGAGAAGAAGTATATGTACATAGTTAGGTTGGGAAAGTGTCTGAGAAGGAACATCCACATCCAGGACCCATGCACACATAACAGATGCCTTCCCTTAGACATAGTTCAGGACTCAGAAGTGGATCATGGGGCTGTGTTAACACAATCATACTCACCTTTCTTGCCCTTCTCTTTTCCAGGGTTTAGTACTGCACTTATACCAGCACTAGCCATGGTTACCTAAACAAGGTTTTGCTCCTCAGCTACAAACTGAATCTCTGTTGTACAGCTATGCCCTACATTTAAATTAGAGCAAACTCTGATTCATCCCAAGTATAATTAAGGCTTACCCATCCTGTTTCACAGGATGGGTAGGATTGAACTACTTCCCTTCCCGTCTCTCTGTGCCTCTCTTCTCTCTGTTTCCTGGGTGGTATGCCATCCTTAATTTGTCTCCATGTGCTCTTTTGCTACACTTGCAGCACTCTGTGCAATAGTGCCAATCACCACTTTAAGTAGGACACACCCTCCACACAGAGAGACAAGCTCAAATACCACACACACACACATGCTATACATTATTTTCTTTCCTATCAGCTAGATTTCTTTCTCTATTTTATGGTATTGTCACCACCACAATAGCAAAAAAAGTTGTTGCACCAAAAGAACAAAACAGAGGCAAGAAAGAGGCAAGACTGATAAAGTGCAATTATAATCTAATGGGTAACTTTCAATACATCTGGTTTACAGAAGCTATTCCCTCCCTGAGGCATACTGGAAGGAGGTGTGATTTTCTATCTAGTGGCTCAACAAATTCTCCAGGTGAGGACAGTTGCAATTCCATTTCACCAGCCTGGCCTCTTTAATGCCACCATAACAGCCATATTGGCTGATCCTTGTTCCACACCTAATCAGCACCTATGGAGGAAGATGGGAAAGAAGGCCCCAGCCACTGAAGCCTAAAGATGCAAAGCTACATTGCTCATCTGTCATGGAATATCCAGAATTAAAACAGCTTGGGTACCACCGCTTGCCTGTAGTGAAGAACTACTTCCAAGTGAGCAAACAGAGCCATTTTTATTATGGTACAAGAGTGTATTCTTAGCTGCACCACAAGTGACATGAGTATTTCTTGTGGACAGTTTGGCTAATAAAAAGCTGCACGGGCTTGATATATTTGGGTTTGTGGATGCATTTGTAACGCTGGATCAAACCATGCTAGGGTGTAAGGAAAATAATGTGGCGACTGATGGTGTCTGGAAGGGCTGGAGATCTACATAACCTCCTTGTCCTTGTGCATGCTAGTACAGAGAGAAAAGAAGCACAGGTTGTCCTTCTACTCTTGCCATTAATGGAGGGAGGCTAGATCATGCGCAAAGGAAACCACCTGTGACGGCCTTCACATGCAGTGTCCCGGCAACTACGCATTCTCCACTGTGCACAGTGAAAGGAACAAAGCAAGCCATGCCTCTTCTCCACTAAACAGCTACTGCCACCCACATTAAGTTTCTGAGCCAGTCCATATTGGTGTAATGGTTGGAATACTGAACTGAGGCATGAGAGATGCAAGTTCAAATCCCCACCGAGCCGTGTGGCTCACTGGGTAAACTAGAGCCAGGCAACTCTTCCTCTGACCGACCGACTTCTTTGAGGCTAAAGCAGAGAGACTAGGACAGCCACAGTCAGCACCTTGAGCAAACTGAAGGAACCACCCGACATTAACTTAACTAATAAATACATACATTGATAAATAAATATTCTGCGTGTAAACTTCCATGAAGGAGTGACTATGCTTCTCAAGTACAGACAGGTTTCTACTGCGTCCTTCTCATTTTCCATACCCTGCAGACTTCACATTTCTACTTCGGGTCTGTACTACTGCAGCTGTATTTGCTATTACATCTCTACAGCATTTTGATCTACTTCTGTGTTACTATATCACCTTTTGTTATTTATCCTGCCATCTGATGGGGAAGCATTTCAAGGAGAACTTTGGCCCTGTGTGCCTCTCACCCGGTGGGCTTCTTCTGAGGCTGGAGAAGAGAGGAAGGCAAGGCTCTTTCAAGATCCCCTCTTAAGATGCAATCACAATCTTTTATGCTAGGTTCAGAAGTATGAGGGGAAAGGACCCAGAGCAACACTGCATCTTGTCTCTGCCAGCAAGTGTCTGTGTGGATAACATCAGACTCAAACGAGCAAAAGTGGGAGAGGGAATAAAAAGGCGCAAGGAAACTTAAGGAAACAAAAATCAGCTACATGAAACTGGATGGCTTTTAGAAAGGCTGTTTTCAAGAAGAGGTCTCCATGCAAGAGACATACTTCTTAATTAACCCCCCTTTTAACTCCTTAGTACTGAACAATAAGCACTCTACAGCAGATGCCAATGGTGCTTTGGAAATGCAAGAGCACTGGAGGCATATTTCACTGTTAAGCATCCATAACATCCCTCTTTTTGCAATACGGAAGGCTGACACAGCCACCTCTCTGAAGAGATTGCACTTCCGTGAGGACAAAGAGAGGGCCAATGGCACCACTTAAAACTTGGCCATCTGGGGTCCAAACTAGATCTGACAATTGCAATCTTGATTATCTTTTACACAACACTCCCTCATTGTCTCTTCAATCAAAGGCCATCTCAGGAGGCTGCAAGTTTAAGCCAGGGAACAATGTGGGGGAGGGGCTGTTACAGCCTTTCCTGTCATAGAAAAACAACAAAAAAAAAACCCCATGCAAACAAAAATTATGAGGTAAATTAAGCCTCAGGAGAGTAACTGGCTCACATCACACAGTGAGATCCCCAGCTAAATTGGGATTTGTATTGGGTTATCCTGGTCCTACTCTAATAATCCAACTGTTAACCCAAAGTATGCCATGACTCAACTTCCAGATAACCTCACCAGGATGACTGAGAATCTTCACAGATATATTAACCCAAAGTAGTTCTCATTTTGTGTTAATAATACCTCAGATTTCTAAGAGTCTGTTATAACCATCCTGCCCTCAGATGTTTTTTAATCATTGGTATTTATGTATTAGTTACATTTCTATCCTGTCTCTTGTCCAATATAGCTGTCCCTTCCTTCCCTATTTTGTTTCACCCAAACCTGGGAGGTAGCTCAGTCTAAGAGAGATTGAGAGGGCCAGAGTCACCAGTTAGCTATGTGACTCAGTAGGGACTTGAACCCGACCTCAGTGCAGTGCTTTAAGCACTACCCCATCGCTGTCCAAGGTAGGGAACAAGACTACACTTTGCTCAGACTATCAGTAATGCTTATCCTGTCTCTGAGCCTGCTAGAGATCCTTGAGTGGGCCTCAGTTAGCACAGGCCTGCACTGATTAAACTATATGTGAGCAACTGATTGCCTGGTTTGGGACTGTGAATGGCAAATACATGCCACACAAACAGTACATCTATGCACAGATATCTGTCAGATGCTCAGTTTGAACATGACGAGAGAAGGCAGAAATGTTCCGTCTTGCTACTGTCTGCAGCCTTTACCTCAGGAGAAAATCATTCAAACCAGCCACAACTTAAAGTTCTTTATAATAAATGCTGGAAGTCTCTGTGCCATGACTTACCAATGTATTCATCTTGATCCACAAAGCCGTCTTCATTTCTGTCTATGTCTTCCAGTGTTTCCTGTCACAATCAGGAAAAAAAGCTGGCTTTATAAAGGGGTGTGATTTTTTATTTATTTTTTTACCCAAAGTGATTATAAATCTCTTTCATTTGAGGAACTGTTATACAGCAAGAGTTTGTCTTTTTAAAACATGCAGAAAATACTGATAACTATATAACATGCTCATATTTTACTGTACTCTGCACAGGGCTTTGGATGGAAAGATTTTATAGGTTTTAACTTATAAAGTCCTAAACACTTTGGGTCCAAGCTATCTGAAAGACCACATCTCCCTTTATGAACCTGCCTGGGTGTTAAGACCATTGGGGAAGCCTTTCTCTCGGTCCCACCACCCTTACAGGTATGTTTGGTGGGGACACAAGATAGGGCCTTCTCGGTTGCTTCTCCCAGACTCTGGAACTCCCTCCCACAGGAGGCCAGATTGGCCCCATCTTTGTTGTGCTTCCGCAAGCAGGCAAAGACCTTTCTGGTTGCTGTGGGTTTTTTGGGCTCTTTGGCTTTTGAAGGTTGTTCTTCCTAACGTTTCGCCAGTCTCTGTGGCCAGCATCTTCAGAGGACAGGAGTAGTATTTGAATAATTTACTGTTGTTAGCTTTTAATATTGCATTTTAATGATGTAAGCTGCATTGGGTCCTTTTTTAGGAGAAAGGCAACATTAAATAAATAAATAAATAAATAAATAAATAAATAAATAAATAAAGAATAAATACATACATACATACATACATACATAAGAAGTCTGCCTATATCGCTTATCTACAGGTACCAGAAAAGCACATGAATATCTCATGACACTGAAAAAGCACTTTTTCTAGGCTTGGAAAAGTAATTCAGTTTAATAACATAATTATTGGAATATTCTTCAAATTAAAGGTTGTGAATAAAACTGTCCTGCTACATTTGCGTGTAACATAGATCCTGTGACTAAGGAAAAGCTATTAGTCAATGGGTCCCAGGCTCAGTCTGGGCTGAGAAAGATCCTTCCTGCAGCCCCCGAGTTGCTGTCGAACAGTCTAGCTGGCACAGAGATAGAAGACCAACAGCCTGAAAGAGAATAAAGAAGTTTTCTGCTGTTCTATGAAGTCGCTATGTAGGATGAACATTTAGGATGCAGGATGAACATTTAGGAAAAGGTCAAGCACTGGTCAAAAAAGAACTGATCTCTGCAACTCATTTTATGGGCCATAAAAGTGGACTTGCCCCATGAAGGCGATAGTAAAATATGCTTATAAGGCACTATAAGGAGGAGGCTAATAAGGTTCACCAAAGGCACATGCGGAACAGGGAAAAATTACCCTGTTGGGTTACAACTTGAGATGGGCATGAATTAAAAACAGAATCACCAAATTCATTCAAAAATTGCTAATTTGTTGATTCGTACTTGTACGATTCAACACCCCAACAAATATGAATCAATGAATTTTATAAAATTTTTATTTGTCAATTAGTTTGGTTATAAAATGTCCCCCCCAGCTCCTAGAGACACCAAAATTGCAAGGAAGCTGCCCCTGACTCTCCTCTAAAATCCCTACAAGTTTAGTGAAGATTGAGTTTCCCCAAGCCAGCTGCTAAAGGACACTTTCTTTGTGGGGGGCTACTTTGTGGGTGTATAACTTGAATGTCTGAAACCCAATTTTCATCAAACTAGGAGGGATTGTAGAGGAGAGCCAGAGGAGCTTTGCTTCAAATTTGTTGGCTCTAGGTCCTGGGTGTTTGTGTGTGTGTGTGTGTGTGTGTGTGTGTTATAGGATTTTAATGCCAAAAATTCACCGATTTGTCAGGAAAAAATCATAAATCAAAAATCCTTTGGACCAATAGAGGGATCTGGCCACACACAGAAGGTCTCGGTCTGTGGCCACATATGTCGCCTTGCTACCGAGCCTTCAAACTATATAGAACTGCCTGATAACATACAACTTAAAGGAGGTCACCAAGTAGTTCACTTTTGAATAAACAGAGCCAGATACCTCAAATAGCTTTTCCTTCCTGCTGAAACGACCAGTAACTATTGTGTAGAAATGCTTGCCCTGAAAGACGAGGAAGCCAGTTTTCTAATCTATTTAGTAAACGGAAACCCAAAGAAGTGAGATTGGCTTAGCTGTTGCTTACTAGAACAACAATGTCTTTCATATGCTCAAATTCCTCTGGGTGAAGGAATGCCGTGAACTCCTCACGAGTAGCTTCGGAGTCGCCATCCAGGTCAGCATTTTTGAATCTTCTCTCATCCCTAGGCAGCATTTTTTTAAAGCTGTGCTGCTCTGTTGCATCTTGAAACTCTGCTGGATTTTCTAGAAAACCAGAAGTATTAAAGTGAATTGGGAGTCAAACAGCAGTAACAAATGCTATAGAAAGGTGGGGTACAGCTCACAAGGAACATGCAGTTACAGCGTGGCAACTGCAACTGATTTGAACCTTAGTCTGGTTACTGCCAAGGGCCAGACCCACATCCTTGGGGCATTTACAAAATTTAGTAGTGTTGCCACCAAGAAGAAATCTCAATGCGGGCTAAAATCCACCCACTTTAAGATCTTCTAGACTGCCTCATGAGAATACAGCTGAAAGCCCCACTGATTTTAGGAAATGCAGTGTATATCAGCAGCTAAGTGCCCTCATTCTGGGAATTACAAGTCCAGTACCAGTGGTCTTGAGGGATGAACACCAGCCCTACAATGTAGGACAAAGCCCCAAGTAGTAATTGCTAGAGCAGGCCAATTTGGCCCCAGAGCACCCCTGCCCACATCTTTCAGAGCCCCTCTCAGGGGCTTCTGCTTTTTTGGTGCAGGTTGCTGCACTCCAGTTTGATCCATTTCTAGTGCATGGACCAAAATTGAGCCTCGCTACTATCAAAGCTACCAAGGCTTCTTCCAGTGTCAATTTCCAGCGCCGTGAAGTGGCTCAATAAATGAGCCAATTCAGGATATTGAAATTTCCCCTTATCCTTTGCAGAGGAGCAGAGGAAGTGAAATTATTATTATTACTGTATTTTTCTGTGTATAAAATGACACTTTTTCCTAAAATCATTAGAGGAAAAATTGAGGTTTGTTTTGTACATGGAAGGAGGCAGAGGCGGAGGCACATGAGCAGCTGCGCTCGGCCACCTCTTGTGGCTATGTTTTGTACACGGAAGGAGGCAGAGGTGGAGACAAAGGAGCAGCTGCGCTCGGCCACCTCTTGTGGCTGCTCATTGACTGCTGCCGCCACAGCCGGATTGCCTCCTCCAGTGCCACTCACAGGCTCCCCTTGGGCAGAGAACAAGGTAACAACATGAGCTGGAGGTGAGCCCTGGCAGGAGGAGGAAGCGATCCGACAGAAGCAGCAACAGTTAATGGGCAGATGCAAGAGGCGGCCGAGCTCAGCTGCTCCTTTGCTTCTGTCTCTGCCTCCTCCTGCTGCTGCCTCTGCTGCTAGATTGCCTCCTCCAGCACCACTCGCGGGCTCCCTTCGGGCAGGGGACAAGGCAGTGATATGATTGGGCAGTGGAGGCAGCAGCAGCAGGAGACGGAGGTGAAGCCACCCCTCGTGGCTGCTCATTGACTGCTGCTCTGCCTCAGGCAAGGGACAAATGTAGGGGGACATTGTATACACTGGGGGCTTGATTTATTGCCCCTGTGAGATCAACACAGATGCAATAAATCTCTTAGACTAAATCTTTTTTAAAAAATCTTTGCTTTTGAGTGAAATGTCAACTGTGACTGTGACTGTGACCAGTTTCTCAATCAACACTATGCACAAAGCAAAGACAAACATTTTTTGCAATTTAATCTAAGTGATTCTGCACATGTCCAATATCTGGCAGGGGCAAAACAATAATTACACTTCCTCTGCCCCTCCACAAAGGAGAAGGGGAAGTGTTCAATCTGCCAATATCTTGAAGTGGCTTGTTTAGGATTGGATTGCTTGAGATCGGTGTGCCATTTGGACATTTGGAAATAATATGTTGATTTCATACACCAATGTGAAACAAGAGGACAAGCCTACTGATGCCTCTGAAAAACAACATTTAAAAAAGCAATGCCGTGCACTGCTCCTATCTTAAAATTAGAGACATTTTTCTTGTCTAGCAATGATTTTAATGTTAACGTGGTAAATTTAAAATGTTATTCTCCAGCTCTAATTTTAGAGTGCTAGATGATTTTAATTTTTAGCATTATTATCAAATACTATAAAATACAAGCCAAACATCACAACAGGCCAAACAGTTTTCCTTCTTATGCAAAAGGTTTTCCTTCTTACGCCTTTGGACTGTGTGCTGAATACAAAGGTCTATTAATTTGTTTCTAACAAGAAGTGCATTGAACCAGCCTGTCGGCCGCAAGAACAGATGTGTCTGAAAAAATCACATGGTCTGAAATGAAGGGTACCTGCTCTTTCTAATTAGCATCCAGGCCTTCTGCATACTTTGAACTGTGTCCAAAGTCCCATTCAGTGCTTCATTTACAATTAAACTGATACATAACTTGCACTGCTTCTCTCTTTATTCAGTTCCTATCTGTATGACTTGCCGTATTTACAAAAACAGAGAATGTAGGTTTCTTGCAGATTAACCTTGAATATCACTAGAAAAGGGAATCTACAGCATGCGGGCCTTTTCCTTATTTTTTATTAACCAGCTATTTGATTCTACCCTAGATCCAGGATTGCTGGTAATCGGCAACAGTACTGAATTTGGAAATGGTACATATGACTGTGGGCCTCCCTTATGGGAAGTATTTTTCCTGTACGGAAGTAAATTGCAATAATCAGCTCATGGTTGTGTGAGGTGTGGTACAAGTGTATCCACCCATCCAAGGTTTCCTTAGGAAGTAAGCAGTTCTGGTACATACATGCCAGTGCAAAATCCACTTTTCTTATGCAGGCTTAGTCCAGGTTGGAGGAGGAGGAATGGAATGGAATGGAATCAGGGCCATGCATCTGGATCAGAGGAACCCTCAAGAAACCCAGGCCACTTCAGAAAGATCTGGACCTCAGCCCAAGTGAAGCAGTATATCAGGCCAATACATCAGGCCAACACAAAAATAAAAATAAAATAAAGAAAACAAAAATGTTGTGGCACCTTAATGACTACAATTTGAAAGGACTAGAAAACTGTAGAGCAGGGGTCTCCAAACTACGGCCCGTGGGACAAATCCAGCCCACCTGGTCTTTTTCTCCGGCCCGTCTGTGTGAGTGTGCATGAGTGCAGGCATATGGACAGTAGTGCTTGCTGGTGAGTGGGCGGGCGGGAGTGCATGCAGGCAGGCGAGCATGCATGCATGCAGGCAGGCAGGAGTGCGTGCGGCCAGGCATGCATGCGGAGGGGTGTGTGCGGGAGTGTGGTGGGCGGGAGTGCACACATGCATTCCTTTGGCCCTTGAAAATATCGCAAGTGTATTATGTGGCCCTCCGTGGGAAAAGTTTGGAGAACCCTGCTGTAGAGAAAAGGGAGGCAGCAGAACCACTATCAGGTTATTGGGCTACAAATAGCCAAGCAACACAGGCAAGTGAGCGAATCACCCACAGGGAGCCATAGGGCTGTGGCAAACCAGGCAACCGGGTGGCTGACGTGGAGATCAGGATGGCTAGGAGACAGTCTGATCTTTGTCTCAGTGAAAATAAGTTGGAGCAAAATTGCCTAATTCTGAGAGTATTGCTTAAGACAAGTTACCGGAGATTATCACTGAGCTGTATTGCTTCAACTTTATGTCTTGATTTTTCTTACCTAGGTAATAGCCATATGTGGCTTGTTTGTATTCTTCCCAGGAAATTTTGTTGTCTTTGTTGAGGTCATAATCTTTCCAGACTTTAGCAACATTTTCAAAGATGTACCGCTTCTGCACTCGTTTAATCCAATTTTTAAGTTCCTCTGTTGTGACAAAGCCATCTTTGTTATCATCAATTCGATCAACAATTTTCCTGCAGTAATGGAGAAAGTAAGCTGATTCAGAATTTCGGCCTACATCCAAATGTTAATCCCCATTAGCAAATCAGTGGGAATTTGGTAGCATTAAAGGTGTGTATATTTTTAGTTCTGGACTGGGGAACTCAAAAAACATAAATCTGTACATCTCTAGGCAAAATGTGTAGTAATTCCACTCTTGTTGAGACTAACAATTATTTATTTATTTAATTTATAACCTGCCCATCTAGACCAAAGTCTACTCTGGGCGGCTAACAACAATCCAAATAACAATATAAAATAAAACAACAGCATTAATACAATCGAAGATGGCAATAAATAAATTAGGTATTTACAGGAGGGAAGACCTGCCTAAAGAGTTTGCTCTTTAAAACATCCAGCAAGGAAGCCAGACAAGTTTCTGAGCGAGGATTGTTCCGGAGGTGAGGGGCCACTGCCGAGGAGGCCAGATTTCTTGTTCTTTCTCTCCAAGCCTCCCTTGGCATTAGGCCCCTCAGCCACCCATCCTGGCTAAAGTGAGTGATTCTGACACTGGAGCAGAATCAAACTAGATTTTACTATAACCCTTAGCAGAGAAAACACAGGCAGGCCTCAGAGAAACTAGGCCCAGGAACATTCACACATAGCTCAGGCAAACAGAGGAACATTCACATCGTATAGAATGTGATTGTGACACTTTTGTTTGGCCCATCCTCCTTTTGATCTGGCAAATGGCCTGGTCCTGGAATGCAGGCAGGAGGAAACCAGCCATGACAGGCCAAAACATTCACACCAGGGAGCAGGACAGTGAAGGCCATATACAGTATTTGGGCCCAGGGAGCCTACACATAAACATATAAAATATAAGATTCTTTTCGTAGACATTCAGGCGCATCTTGGGCATAGGCCAAGGACACATGGGTACACGATCTGCATATGTATAGGGAACCAAAAGATCAGCGTAGTTGGCATCACTGCCCAATGAGGGACTGGATCCAAACTTGGGGTACAAATGATCAACAGAATTGTAGAATTTTATGACTCTTTGTTTGTATGATTATAAAACATATGTACACTGTATTTTCGGGATCTTCTCTGCTTTTAAGAGAAATCCCAGCTGACCTTTTATTTGCTGCTATTCAAATAAAATTGGGCCTTTGGTTCAGCTGTTGCATCTATGCCTGATTCCTTGCCAGAGAATCTTAGAACCCAGGTTTGGCCGGTAACAATTTGGGTAGATCTAGGTGGGAGAAGGCATTCCACCAAATATTGAGGTCCTAAACCATGGGCTTTATATGTCATAATTAATACATTGAAATCAATGCGGAAACAAATGGGCAGCCAATGCAGGGCATCCAGAGTGGGGGAGATATGTTGATGTTTTTTCACCCCAGTAAGAAGCTTTGCCACCGCGTTCTGCACCATTTGAAGCTTCCGCATCAAGTCTCAAAGGTAGCCCCATGCAGAGCACATTACAGTGGGGTCTTGACTTGAGAACTTAATCCGTATTGGAAAACGGTTCTCAAGTCAAAAAGTCTGTAAGTCAAGTCTCCATTGACCTACAGTGCATTGAAAACCGATTAATCCCGTAACAGGCCGTTTTTGTTCCATTTTGGTTTTTTCTGGTCTGTAAGTCAAATCTCAGTCTGCAAGTCAAACCTAAATTTTGTGGCCAGAGAAGTCTGTAACTCAAAAAGTCTGTAAGTCAAGCTGTCTGTAAGTCAAGGGTCCACTGTATAGTAGTCTAATCTTGAGATTACAAGCCCATGGACCAGAGTGGTGAGCGCCCCAACATCAAGATAGGAACACAGCTGGGCAATCCACCAGAGATAGAAGTAGGCAGTGCGGACCACTGATGCTACCTGGGTTTCCATGGTAAGCGCTAGATCCAGATGGACCCCCAAGCTGTGAACCGCACTCTCTCCCAAAAGAGAGGGAGTTTCCCAAACCACCAACGGTGGGGCCACCCACCCTCAAGACCTCCATCTTGTCCAGGTTCAGACTTAGTCTATTCACCTGCATCCATTGCAATATGGCTTCCAGACAGCACTGAAGGGACGAAACAGCATCCACTCTTATTGGGGAAAAGGAAATGTAGAGCTGGGTGTCATCAGCATACTGATGACATGAAGCCCCACACCCCCTGATGACCTGGCCCAGCGGCCTCATATAGATATTAAACAGCATTGGGGAGATAACTGAGCCCTGTGGAACCCCACAATTGAGATTCCACGGAGCCAATACACTCTCCCCAAGCTGAACTCTCTGAGGATGGTCCTCCAAGAAGGACCGGAGCCAGGCAAGCACCAGACCACCAATTCCCAACTCGGAGAACCTCCCCAGGAGGATACCATGGTCAGCAGTATCGAAGGTGGCTGAGATATCAAGAAGGACCAACAGAGACATTTTGCCCTTGTCGGCCTCCCTCAGCAGGTCATCAAACAGGGCAACCAATGCAGTTTCCATACCATGGCACGGCCTGAAGCCCGACTGGAATGGATTCAGGGCACTGGTTTCATCCAAAAGGGCCTGAAGCTGATCAGCCACCACCCTCTCTACACTTTGCTGAGGAAAGAAACATTGGCAACCAGCCTCTAATTGTCAGTGTTTTCCACCGCCAAACTTGGTTTCTTCCTGATGGGCCTAATGAGTGTCTCCTTAATGGCAAGGGGAACCCTGCCCTCCTGAAGAGACCCATTAATTATTGCAGTGGCCCATTCAGATGTTATAGACCTGGCTACTTTGACTAGCCAGGCCAGGCAAGGGTCAAGGGAGGAGGTGGTGGCATGACAGTGATCAAGCACTTTATCCACCATATCTGGCATCACAGTCTGAGAGATTAAGTCACATCAGGAAAGGCGGAGCAGTCTGCTCAATCTCCTGTATTCAAAAAAGGAGAAAGATCCTGGCAGATGGCCTCCCCTTTAGATTTTTAAAATGTTCACATGTTAATTCTAAGGATGCTGGTTGATCCTTCCCACATTTAGGAAGGATCCTGATAATGCAAGAAAGTCCAGTATAGAGCCAGAGCAGATGGAATTTTGTGAGTGGGTTTGGTGTATACACTCCAACCAACACCTGCAACTCTTCCTTGACCTTTATGCATAGGGCTCAGGACCTTGTGCTATACTTCAACACAGCTTGAGGTCAAGAGAAATGGGAGCAGTCCAGCTTTTCAAAATGTGTGGACATTATGCTTTAATTTGTGACAAAGCTGCCACAGAGCTGTGAAAAGTCACTTTTTTGGACCACCACTGTTAGAAACCCTCAGTCAATACGGCCTATTGAGGCCACACTGGCTGAGTGACTCTTAACAGTCACAGTTTGAAAAACTAATTTTTTTAGGCTCTGGCATACGTGGTTACACTTCTAGTGCAGACATGTTTGTTATATGCATACATTTGCTGTTACTACACAGTCAACGCCTACAACGACCCTGCCAACAAGCCTCCTGTGCTGCTGGGCAACTGGGATTCCTGGAGGGCCATCACCTTGTCTTTCCCTCTACCACTACTCCTCCTCTCTTTTACAAAACTGCCCGATGAATGGTTTAAATTGCCAGCTAAAAGCACCTTATCTTAAGGTGCTCTATGGAGGAACAGCTTCTTTTATCTGCAGTTGCTCTTAGGAGAAGGTTTTTGTATGAAATGGGAAATTTTCAAAGGCAGAGTGGGAGGGGAAAATGAAAAAGGTTGACAGAGACAAGGAAGAAAACAGAGACCTGCGGGCATCAATGACAGTAAACTGGGAATTATTTATTTATGTACAATTTTATATGTCACTTTTTAAAAAAAAACACATTAGGGTTATCTGTAACAAGGCAATATTTAAAACAAATACAAATGCCAATAAACCCATGAAATGCAGAAATCAAGACAGTAGATAAAATACAGTTGTTTTGTATGTAAAAACCTTGTGCAAACAGTGCCTAAAAGACACTGGCCAGATTCTGCTGGTTATTTATACAGGCACAAGTGCAATGCCATAAAGCACAGGGTCAAACAGGCTTTAAAGTTGCCAATGGCATTGCTGGTCAGGTACCAGTCATAACACTGGCACACGACAAGGAACACAAGTAGTGACTGGTTAACCAGTGGAAATTTGATACTGAGATTTGTGCAACTGCACTTGCGCTAGCATAAATAACCAACAGGATTCTGGCTAGTAATATGGGCCCCAGACAAACCTTCCTGAGAGCTGGAAGGAGAAGAGATGCACCATCTTACTATGGCTCGGGACCTAATTAACATTTCAAGCTCAGGATGCCCTTTGGGCCCAAACAGAACTTGACATCTCTGAACTGAAGGGGAGGAAGACCAAGGCAGCACATTGGCCTACTCGGCCTTTGCCGTCAAAGAGCACTGTGAGCTCAGAGTACCCTCCAGCCACAGAAGGATGCTCAGAACTGAAGGATGTCCATTTCCCTTTAACTCCAGCTTGAGGCTCTTGCATGTTTGATTACGCTTGGTAGCAAAATGTAAAACCGATTTGGCTCTACCTCCAGCTTCATCTTCCTCACCTGCCACGGCAAAATGACCCAACAAGATCAGCAAACCATGCACTTGCCTACAGGACAAGTATCTTGCACAGTAAAAGTGAACACAATGCAAAAGTTAGCTTTGTTCTGCACACAAGACAAAGGTGTCATGCAGAACACAAACAGAAAAGCAACCAGTGTGGTGTGGTGGTTTCAGTATCTGGAGAGCTGGGTTCAAAACCCCATTTAGTTATGGAGATCATTGAGTGATTCTGAGACAGTCTCATCCACTTAGCAGGTCACTGTGAGGATAAAGTCTCTCTCTCTCTCTCTCTCTCTCTCTCTCTCTCTCTCTCTCTCTCTGTGTGTGTGTGTGTGTGTGTTTGTGTGTGTGTGTGAGAGAGAGAGAGAGAGAAACTATGAGTCCTTTGGGGGTGGGGGAGACAGGCTACAAATGTACTAATAGAAATACAGTATAATGAATAAATGCTAAATGGTTTAGTCAGTTTCATCTAGTTCATATTTCCCCTACTGAGTTGGAAAAATAGGATAACATGATTGTATTACAAAAATGTGTGATATATAGTATATACATAAATAGATAGATAGATAAAGCAAAAGAGAAGCAATTATTTGCTGTTGTGAACAATCCACCCTCTGCCTCTGTCAGCTACGGTCTGAAATAGTTGGATCTCTGTCGGAATTCCAAATCAGTGGAGTCTGCTCTCTAAAATGTTTGCTCTTCATACCAGTAGCTTGACACTCAAAAGAAGCTAAAATACTCCCCAGATTGTTTCTAGTTGTACCCATGCCAGCTTTACCCATCTAGTCCCAGTGGATCCCAGTGAAGATGAGACACACCCAGTTTGATTTTTTAATGCTTGTCATTATGCTTGCCATTCACTTTGATCTTTCAAAGTAGCATCCTTACTTTGCTCAGTCTCAGGCCCCATTATAAAGTAAGGTACAGTAACTGCCCTTCCCCAGTCTATCTCTAACTGGCCATCTGAAGTGGGCTCTGTACCATGAATGCCGCAGTAGATTAGCCTTTCCCCTACACAATTCCTTCCAGAAGTGTGGCCCTACCAATTTTCACCAATCCCAGCCTGGATGCCATCAGGCAGGTTGACTAGTGATGATGGGAATTGTCATCCTGTACCTCTGGAGAGTTGCTGCTGCAACAAGATTACTCTTCTGGAAGTGACACCTTCCAGCCTCTCATCATCAATGTTCCTCCCGCTGTAACTATCATCCAGACCTTAGGATCTTATTCAAAAGCAATGATAGTGGACTTTAGCTTCATATACAGAGAGGGCACACCATTGGATGCTGACAGTGCTTTCCCCTCAGTCCACTATGCAGGAATGAACTTCTCTCTTTCACCCTCAATTTATCCTGCACTGGACCTCCTTTTTGCCACGTTATCAGCAGCAAGCAAGTCATGGGAACGATTCCTTCTCCGGCGCCCCCTCCCTGCAGAGTTTCGCTGTCACACTGGATTCCAGGCAGGCTGAGAGATCACAATTTTGCCGAGGCATCCAGGACTAAAGTTATAACCGGAGACACTTCTACAGGCAGGAAGCGCGTGTCTGGAGAGCGGCTCAATCATTCTCAGCAGCAATATATACTGTATTCCTTTGGAAACAATGCAATCAGGGCCTTTCACATATTAGTTACTGAGAAGTAATAACAGTAATAAATTACTAGTTCAGCGGTTCGTGGGGAAGCACTGTTCCTTCCAGTCCCTAGGTTTGGTCTTACCCCAGCTTTTCCTTGCTTTCCTCAGGGGTGAGCTGATCGAAAGTTTTAGCCTCTTCTTTGCCCAGAAAGGCCTCGTGGTCATACTGGAAGCTCTGGTTATCTTCGTGCTGGCGGTCAGTGAGTTCAGGGTCGGGGTGAACGCCCCTCTCTTTCCTGAACGTGGGGACTCCGAAGGACCCCCGGATGCAAAGCAACAGCATCAGCCACAGCGAGAGGGAGCGGGAAGTTTCTTTCGAGTCCATCGTTTCCTCTGGGCAGCCCAGTGAGAGCTACTGTCGGGGTGAAAATAACAACGTTGCAGAAGAAAATCAAGAAGAGGAGCGTGCTAACGGGCAGCACAAGGAGGAGCAAGCAAGTCAACTCACGCTGGTTTGCTCTACCTGCCAGCAAAAGGCATGCACGTGGCTGAGGGTGTTCTCCGCACCACTTGCAGGACTCGGTCCCACTCACCGCGGGCACGTAAAACAGCCAACGTGGGTCGCCCTTCTCCCCCGATCGCCCCCTTTGCACGGCCGGACGGCCATGAAAGTCTCGCTTTCGGTATGAACATGAATGACCTAATTTGGGCTGGGTGCTGGGATCCCCCCCCTTCCCAGCCACTCAGGAGTGCGGTTGCAAACGACGCGCTCTCCCTGCCCGTCCGATGATACGGCGCTCGCGATTGGGCGACAGCAGTAAGTCTTGTTTGTGGGAGGAGGAGGGAGGGAGGGAGCCGCCGGAGCGCCACGTTTGCAAGGTGGTTCGGGTTTCTTTGGAGACGGGGCCGGGAAAAAAAAGCAGTCGGAGAAGATGGGCTAGGAGCGTTGAAAAAAGTCCCGAGGAAAATTCCCAGCGCCAGCGTGGTGTGGCTCTGTTGCCTCATGACCCGAAGTGACACCCCTGGGCGCTAGCCCTTGTCGATCCTATGCATGTTGGCTTTGGAGTTCGTCCCAGTGAGTTTACTCTTAAGTAAACAGGCAAAAGATCGAGCGATAAGACAAACCTTATTATGGATAACAGTATTTACTGTGCAGGTAAATATTGCTACTGAGAACGACGGAGCTACTCTCCAAGGGGACGACGTGTCCACAAAAGCTTACATTGAAATGTAATTGTTAGTCTTCAAGGTGCCACATGTTTCTGTCTTTTGTTGTTTCTTTTGATTTTTCCTGATATGAAGAGGTCCAGGATGGCTGCCATCCCCCAAATGTCTGTCTACAAGTTTCATGTATCTTGTATCTCTAACCCACGTTAAATCTTGGAACATTTGCACCATTTAAATTATATCCAAATAATATAATGTTTCAAACAATTAAAACTGCTATAATTCCTCACCCAGTGTTCGTAATTCATTAACGGCTTGCAAGGTTTACTGTGCAATCCATCTTCTACAAAGATAGTGAGACATCCTGCCCAGTTAAATGAAGCTCACTACTTCCAAGCGGGCATTCAGGCATGCCTTCAGGACCATAGCCTTGATCAGGTAGTGCTTCTTACAAGACAATGTTTAATTTGTGGATTAAAATCCCTATACCCTCTCCCATGAAAAAGTGTAAATGAGGAGAGGAGACCCCTGGGATGCTCATTCAGCATGCAAGACAGCAAAAGCCACCATCCGTGCCAACCCCACTCCATGGACAATATTTATTTTTGCTGCTTAAACTTAAAGATTACTGCTCCTGGTGGCTGAGATTCAAAGACAGTAGGCAGCAGGGGGTGGCACAAGGATGGAGGCACCTCACCCTCACATTTTGAGCAGCTGCCCACTGTTTCATCCATGAGCTGTCACTGGTAGGGAGTGCAGGGGATAAAATGGTCTCATCTTTGCCACGAGTTGGAACCCTCCCTTTTCACCTTCTTCTACAGCCTACAAACTGACAGCAGCCAAACCAGCAAGTTTTCTTAATCACCATCTACCACTGCCAGTATGTACCCCAGTGTTTAAACACCTAAGCAATGGTTCCCAACCTCTTTTATTAGAAAACACAATATATGATGGAGAAATACCAGATGGAATATTTTGGAATATAATGTTTGGACTGCTTATAGTTACCCTAATAGGGCTACAAATTCTGTGCCAATGCTAAATGTTGAATTATATGCCAGTCCGGAATCTGTTACACAGCGTGAGGAATATGTGGCTGTCCAGATGTAGCTGAACTAGAACAGCCTTTGTCCCTGAACATTGGCTACGCTGGCTATTGCTGAACAATACTGTAGTCCGGTACTTTAGCCTGGGGGCCGTACCTTCTGCAACTCTGCTGTAACAGGCTTCCAGTTTATTCGCAAAGGCTTTCACGGCCTGGATCTAATGGCTGCTGTCCTCTGAAGATGCCGGCCACAGAGACTGGCGAAACATTAGGAAGAACAACCTTCAGAACACAGCCAAAGAGCCCAAAAAACCCAGAACAACCATTAGGCTTCCAGTCTGTTGCAATCTGTGTAGGCATAACCCTTCATAAGCTTACATTTCTCAGAATGGTAGAGTTATGGAACAGTGGCAAAAACTCTGGCACAGCAATACCAGAAAGCAACTATTGTCCAAAGATCCAATATCTAGAGAAGTGAATATTTGTTTTCCAAATGTTGAATGCTTTTCAAATCCACCATCTCAACATCATGTTATTTAGCTATACAGTAAATATGAGAGTTGAATGAATTTTTTCAGGTACAGTTTCCCCCCTCAGGGGAATAGAAAATGGAACAGGGCAGAGAATAGGAAATTACTGCTAATTCCCCACTTGAACTCCTTAGAAAGAGACCAAAAGGTCATTCCTACAAGGATAAAAATTGACATTCATATTATTTGCAACTTTTGCAGAACAGAATCCTGGTGTGGGTAAACTACAGGTAGATCTGCCCATGGGGATAACAGCACTGGCTAAGAGAGTGGTAGCTTTGATGGATAATAAAGTGCTATACTGGGGCGGGGGGGGGGTTACCCAGTGTGGAAAGAGTAATGGATTAAGACTCAGGAGACTTGGGTTCAATTCCCTGGTTCTGCCATAAAAACTCACTGGGGGCGGAGGGGGAATGGAACTGGTAAAACTACCAGTTAAGAACCTCACTTACCTTTAAAATCTATTAGGGTCATTATAAATTTGTTCTAATTTGACAGCACATAACAACAAGTATAGAGAGATTGTGTAGAAAATCCATTTTAATTATCCTTTTGTCTAATGAAGAAAAATAATGCTTCAATAATGGACTCTGGTGTTCAATCTGCCTCAATAGCTTGATGCTTCTTCATTATTTCAATGATTGAGTCTACATATAGTATTCACAATAAGATCCCCATAGCAGCTGACTTGTAAAAATTGTTCACTCACATTCAGTGTAAAAATACCATTTTCTTAATCCACTGCTTTATCAGTGACTCATATGAGTTTTATGTGTATGCAAGAATTGTGTAAAAGAATTTCAAATACAGTGGTGCCTCGCTTAACGAGCGCACCGTATAACAACCCCACAGTGATGGGGTCTCAGCGATCGCATACCGATGACCCCTATGGGCAAAACTCGCTTTGCGAAGATCGGTAAGCGTTTCGCTTACCGATCTTCGCAAAACGAAGCCCGACGATCAGCTGTTTGGCGGCACCAAAATGGCCGGTGGAAGCCCGGAAATGGCTGCCCGTAGCGTTTTCACGCCCTGCCTTCGCTTAACAAGGGCGTGAAAATGGCTGCCGGACCCAGGAAGCATCGCTGAACGGTGAATTTTCAGCCCATTTGGATCACATTAAACGATTTTTAATGCGTTCCTATGGGCTTTTCTGTCCTGTTCAGCGATGTTTCACCATAGCGAAGGTTAATCCGGAAAGGATTAACCTCGCGATGCGAGGCACCACTGTACTAGGTTGCAAAACTGGCTGTGATTTGGGTAGCAGTAGGCTTAAGCAGGCAGTAATGTATATGAAAGGCTGGGCTGTATATTGTCTCCCTGCTTATTTAACTTATATGCAGAATACATCATGCAAAAGGCAGGACTGGATGAATCCCAAACAGGAATTAAGATTGCCAGAAGATATATCAACAATCTCAGATATGCAGATGATACCACTCTGATGGCAGAAAGTGAGGAGGAATTAAGAAACCTTGTAATGAGGGTGAAAGAGGAGAGTGCCAAAAATGGTCTGAAGCTCAACATCAAAAACTAAGATCATGGCCACTGGTCCCATCACTTCCTGGCAAATAGAAGGGGAAGATATGGAGGCAGTGACAGATTTTACTTTCTTGGGTTCCATGATCACTGCAGATGGTGACAGTAGCCATGAAATTAAAAGACAGCTGGTTCTTGGGAAGGAAGCAATGACAAACCTAGACAGCATCTTAAAAAGCAGAGACCTCACCTTGCCAACAAAGGTCTGCATAGTCAAAGTGATTGTTTTTCCAGTAGCGATGTATGGAAGTGAGAGCTGGACCATAAAGAAGGCTGACCACCGAAGAATTGATGCTTTTGAATTGTGGTGCTGGAGGAGACTCTTGAGAATCCCCTGGACTGCAAGGAGAACAAACCTATCCACTTTGAAGGAAATCACTCCTGAGTGCTCACTGGAAGGGCAGATCCTGAAGCTGAGGCTCCAATACTTTGGCCATCTCATGAGAAGAGAAGACTCCCTGGAAAAGACCCTGATGTTGGGAAAGTGTGAAGGCAAGAGGAGAAGGGGACGACAGAGATGGCTGGACAGTGTCACCAAAGCTACCAACATGAATTTGACCCAACTCCAGGAGACAGTGGAAGACAGGAGGGCCTGGCATGCCCTGATCCATGGGGTCACGAAGAGTCGGAGACAGCTTAATAACTAAACAACAACAATAAATTATGAAAGGCTGGTGAACATTGAGGATTTATGGGGTGGAAAACAGTGCAGAACCGGGGGTATTGTTTGCTTTTCATAACTTTCCCTCTTCTACTCCTAACAATATTTATTCCCTACCTTCCATATTTCTGTAGCCTGATATATTTGTTTTGCTTTTTACTGATACGTTCCATAAAAACATTTTCTATCCCACATAGAGGCTAACACTGAGTATTGTTTTAGTATCCATAGTTACCTTTACAGTCTCTTTCCACAAAGGAAATAGGGAAGACCAGGGGATTTACAAATGTTTGTAACAACCTGCTTATTTGTCAAAAATAGTCCATATAAAATGAGTATTTATAGGTGTGCAGAGGCAAATGCACTCAGAGCAAATTCAAAAGCAACAACAGATCACCTAATGTCCACACCCACATTGCTACTTTCTAGCAAATTCTTACATGTACTTGCAAGAGATAGATGTGGTCTAATTCCTACTC